AAATAGAGAAACAGAGAGAACTGGTAGATATAAAGAGAAATGAAGCGAGAGCGAATGATCAGGAGAGAGGGTAAAGCAAATGTATGAAAATGTTATCATTTAAGAAATCTGAGTAACAGGTACTGGGAATTATTTATGCCATTATTGCAACATTTTCTGAAATTATTTCAAAATTTTAAATTTTAAAAGATTAAGGAATAAAAAAGATATACTAGGGAAAAAAACAACCAAAAGGAAGCTGGTATTAACATTATACTAAATAAATATTGAGGCAAGAAGTATTATTAGCTTCCTGATACATATACTATATACCTAGAACAGTGTCTAGTATATGGTTCATGCTCATAAAATTCTTGCTCAATGAAGGAGTAATAAAGATATTTAATATATAATGAGGAAAGGAACAATTTACCAGGAAGATGCACCAATTTTAAATTTACGTACACCTAAAAACATAGCTTCAAATACTGAACAGATACTAGGCAAATACACTGATACTAAATATTGACTATAACTATTAACAAGGCAATAAAGCAAATCTCAACAAATGTCAAAGAACCAATTACATATAATCCACATTCACTGGCCACAATGCAATAAATTAGAAAAGAATAGCAAAAAAATCCATATTAAAAATTTTAAATATTTCTTAATAGCACACGGATCAAAGAAGAAATCATACTGTAACTCAGAAAGTATTTAGAACTAAATGATAATAAAAATGCTAAATTTCAAAACTTGGGGGAAGAAACAATACTGGTTCTTAGAGGGAAATTTATAGCCTTAAGAGCTCATAACAGAAAATAAAAAAAGACTGAAAACTAGTGTATCAAATATCCAACACAAGTTTTAAACTTTAGAAAGGAAATAAGAGATAACATCAAAAATCCACAAAGTAATATTCTTCAAAAGCTATGAGGGAGGTTTAATAAAGCCAAAAGCTGGTTCTTTGAAACTACTAGTAAAATAAACAACCCTCAGGTAATATTGATCAAGAAAAAAAGAGAGTGCAAATAAGCATTATTAGATGTGACAAGGGAGACATGACTGCAAATAGAGCAGCCAGGAAAAATGTGAATTTAGATGAAAGAAAACTATAACATATCAAAACTGATGCCCACTATTATTACTGAGTTCAATAGTTTAAAACTACCCAGACTATTTAACAGATAAGTTCTATCAAATATTCAAGGAATAAGATGATCTTTATCTCATATAAATTGAGATTTATACTAAATAGGAAAACAAAATAGGGATTCACAGAATATCAAAATGGGAAGCACTACCAATATATTTTACAAAGCTAGTATGACCTTCATACCAGAAAAGAGCTATAAAAAGAAAAGAAATTACAGGTCAATCTCACTTATTAACATAGATGTAAAAACTGTAAATAGAATATTAGCAAACAAAATCAGGAATGTATCAGGGCCTCTAATACACACAATGACTAAAAATGCTAGAATGACTTATTATTACAAAATCTTATAATTTTCAAATTTAATTTATCAAAGAGAAATCCATATGATCAATCTAAGAATCACAGAAAAATCATTTAATAAAACCCAACAACCATTCATAATATAAACCCTAAGCAAACTAAAAATAGAGGATAATTTCTTCAGACTGATAAATGGCATTTAGCAAGCATAGCTAGTGATGCATTCCTTTTAAAATAAAAAATAAGGCACTTTTACTTCTTTACCCAACATTATACTGGAAGTTCAGTCAAACTGGAAGTTCAGTCAAACAAGAAGACACAAAATCTACAATGATTAGGGAAAAACTATCATCTTTTGCACACACACACAAAATTATAATTGTCTAAATTTTAAAAAACCTAAGATGATCTACAGATATATTATTAGAATTTTTAAGTGTTAGAGCAAGGTTGCTAGACAGAAGATCAATGAACCAAAATCAACTGTGGTTCCATATACTAGTAACAGTAGGAAATCCATTTCTGACCAAAAAAAATTTACAACAACAAAAAAGTATAAGATATCTGGGAAGAAATCTAAACAAAACGAAACAAAATGCCCTGGCTGATGTGGCTCGGTGGTGAGTGTCGACCCTCGTGCCTAAGGGCTGTGGGCTTGATTCCCGGTCCAGGGCACATACCTGGGTTGCAGGTTCAGTGTTTCTCTCTCTCTTCCCCTCTTTCTCCTCCTCCCTCCCTCCTTCGCTGCATCCTCCCGCCCTTACACTCTATTTAAAAAAAAAATCAGTGGAAGAAACATCCTTGGGTGAGAATTAACAACAACAAAAAAGTTACCTATGGAGAAAAGCAAAAAATCATTAAACTAGACACACATCAATTGAGAGATGTACAATATTAATACTATGCATTCGTTTCATGTCCTTCCCAAGATTCAATGGGTAAAGCAAAAAACCACAAAATGAGTAAATCCATGGAAATGATAAAAAACAAGAGAGTTATCATTAACAGATCAACATTTGATGAATTTCAGGGAGCTGAAAAGCACATAGGATAACATTGGTGATGACCCTGAACAGAGAAAACCGCAGCTCAGAACGCGAAAGCGAGGTGCCGCGCTGCGAAGGCAGCGACGCTTCCTGACAGAGCCACCCTGCTCCACGCTCCGGGCCAGTACACTGAGCGCACGTGCAGCCTGTGGGCGGCTGCGGCTAATCCAGTGGGTGTGTAATTAAAGTCTGTGCACTCAACAGCTATTCCCGGACCACCAACAAACCCGCACAGCCCACCCACCCAACCCC